AAATGAATGACTTGTGCTTTCAGACATTGTTTTATTGCTTCATACACGTCCGTAAGATATTCTTCACACATTCGATGAAGAGGGCGTAAGTATTAAAATATATTCGAGTTGAATCACACATATTTTACAACGCAAACGAGTCGTTTTCTTATATACCAAGACTTTCTCATTGTTGTTGGCGCAAACAGCCTATAAACACGCGAACCTGACATTGTTATAGTTGCTGCAGAAATAAAAAAATAAGAAAGTTCGATGGTAAAGAAAATGACTCGTTAGCTGCCTACAACAGACATGATTTAACTAAAACTACTTTTGAAGTTACAATATATGCGGGAGTATTATGAAATAAGTCTGAGAATAGTCTTTTTCTTGCCGAATATTTTTAATACTGTTTTCAGTAGCATGTTCCTAGTATGCTGTATGCCCACCTCATTAATTGACTGTTTCCCTCGGTGTAAACATGGTTGGTTAAAGTCTTAAATGTGTATCATAAACTACAGCAATATTATAAATTGGTGTTACCAGAAAACGGGCCCGAATGTAGCATCAACGTTCGTGAAAACACACCATTTTGTGACTTGGTTTTATCGGGATTCTAATGCTAGTTGGATACGGGTGCACTTTTTTCGCAAGCGAGTATACACAATCTATCATTACAAACCGCTGGTGTCGATATTTCTATTTTGTTTGAAAACAATTAGCTTTATTGCAACATTGCTTGCTTTTTTATCACATTTCACCCTGTAATATATTTCGGAAAAAGTATCTACTGGTAAGAGTATTTCGCCAGCAGGTTAGGGGACACTAAACAAAATGGCTACCGAAAGTGTGTGAAACTTCTATAGGAGTGAGGGCACTGCATGATGACGTCACAGCAGCCTTGAACTATACAATCTGACTGTCACCGCCAAATATTATGATATTGTATCGAGTTAGTGAGATGCAAGAATGTTATGATTTATTAAGCTTTACTGTCTGTAACACTGCTGTAAGATCTATTGGACGAGACCGATCACTGTAACCACGGTTACAGTGTTGTCACTGGTGGAAATTGGCATATTTGTCACAGACA